AGTTAACTTGATAAAACTGATTATAATGTTAAGTTGTCCCTCTAGAGAAATTGGTTAAACGCCCCGGCTTTATGGATTCAGCTAGCCAGAAAATAGCGAATTAAATTTATTTAAATAAGGAGTTTCGGTAAAAATGGACTAATGGAATTAAGGAACACCTGTTATAGTCAAATACACACGAGCACTCAAGAATTTTTTTAGACCGATATTTTTGGACTACCTTTGTTAGAGGAGCTTACAAAACTTGAACAAATGGAAGATTTCAGAGAACTGAAATATAAGGTTTAGTAATTGATTATGCTAGTTGCGTCATTTTGTCCGCGTCCAATTAAAATGCCAAGCCAAAGAAAATCATGTTGCAATAACCGAAAAAATGACCTTTTCATGGATGAAACCTTAGGTTAACCTAAAGTCAACTCATCTATTTGAACATTTGTCAAAGAGATATAACTCTGAAAGCATTAAAAGAGCTATTGATTCCTTTGATATACTTTGAACTCATGTTTATAATTTGATTCAATTAAGGAGCAATATTTTACAGCAGTTTTATCCCTTTCCCTCCTAAAACAAGAAAAGGGAAAAAACATTTCCAAACAGGACAGTCTCAAATATGAAAGGTCTGTAAAACCAAAGCTCGAGAAGTAAATGGGGCACGATCGATTCCAAGGACCAGATTGGCAGACAAAACACGGGACTCCAATCCAAGAGATAAAACATAACTCATTCCTGTTGCATGCATCTTAGGCATACTTAAGGGCATCACATTTATCATTTTTAGCACATATTTTTTTTTACAGTTTTTAGAGTCAAATTTCAACTTCAAGATGAAAGATAATCGATTCAAAAAGTGCATTCGGAAATTGATGGTGGTTGCTCAACTTCACAGCGAAGGGGCGACTGACGGTCAACAAATAACTTTTCAGTTTTATTCAGAGTCAATTTCAACTTCACAACGAAGGATATTGGACTCGAGACAACACAAGCTCAACTTCACAACGAAGGGGCGATTGACTGTCAACAAACAACTTTTCAGTTTCATTCAGAGTCAATTTCAACTTCACAGCGAAGGATATTGGACTCGAGACAACACAAGCTCAACTTCACAGCGAAGGGGCGGCTGCCTGTCAACAAACAACTTTTCAGTTTAATTTATAGTCAATTTTAATTTCACATCGAATGATACTAGACTCGAGACAACACAAGCTCAACTTCACAGCGAAGGGGCGACTACTGTCAACAAATAACTTTTCAGTTTCATTCAGAGTCAATTTCAACTTCACAACGAAGAATATTGGACTCGAGACAACATAAGCTCAACTTCACAACGAAGGGGCGACTGACTGTCAACAAATAACTTTTCAGTTTCATTCAGAGTCAATTTCAACTTCACAGCGAAGGATATTGGACTCGAGACAACACAAGCTCAACTTAATAACGAAGGGGCGGATGGCTGTCAACAAATAACTTTCCAGTTTTAGAGTCAATTTCAACTTCACGGCGAAGGATATTGGCCTCGAAACAACACAAATATTTGGATTTCAACTTCACGTAGAAGGATATCCAATTCGAGGCTCAACTTCACAACGAAGGGGCCATCCACGGTTTCAACTTCACGACGAAGGGAATCGTGCCCACCAAAGGCCTTCGAGTTCGACTACGCTCAGCTCCAAGGAACATCATTTGCAGCATAACTTAAGTCAAGAAGGGTTATCTGCCAACCGAAGACCCTCGAGTTCGATTACACTCAGCTTCGAGGGCACATCATTTACAACATAACTCAAGGCTAGAAGGGTTATTTGTGACCAAAAGACCTTCGAGTTCGGCTACGCTCAGCTCCAAGGCATATCATTTGCAGCATAACTTAAGTTTAGAAGGGTTATCTTCCAACCAAAGACCTTCGAGTTTGACTACGCTCAGCTCCAAGGCACATCATTTGCAGCATAGCTTAAGTCAAGAAGGGCTATCTGCCAAAGACCCTCGAGTTTGATTACACTCATCTTCGAGGGCACATCATTTATGGCATAACTCAAGGTTATAAGGGTTATCTGTTAACAAAGACATTTCTAGTTTGACTCCACTCAGCTCAAAGGCACCATCATTTGCAGCATAACTCAAGGCAAGAGGGGCTATCTGCCAAAGACCTTCGAGTTCGATTCCATTCAGCTCGAGGGCGTATTAACCGCGTTGCATCAGCAAGGAACTACTTTCCGGTCAAATTTTTACACACAGTTCTCTAAATCGAGAAGAAGACCAAGGTCGACCAAGGTTGGCAACAAAGAGTCACTTTCCGATTCCCCACGATTTCAACTTCAAGAAGAAGGATATCGTGCCCAATGGATAGACTTAGTGTCACAACAAATACTATCAAGTCTCAAATCAAAGAGAACCAAACAAAAACTGGTTGTCTTTTTCATCTTTGCCCTATTCTTATTAACACAAAAATGTGCAAAGAGGGGCAGCTGTAGACACCCGTTTTTTGTCCGGGTCTACAAAAATATTTTATTATATTATATATATATTTATTTATTATTATTATTAATAATAATAATATATCTTTATTTTATTATTTTTGCAGGCCCCGCACTCAATAACCTCGATTTAGTGAGATTCAGAAAATAAACCAACGTACTTGAGTCTTATTGAAACACTAAAACCAATGTATTTGAGTCTTATTGAAACACTAAAACTGAATCATTTTGAGTCCAAGTAAGACTCTAAATCTGAGCTATAAATAGGTTTCTTTAGACTATAAATAGACTCGTGCATCAAGAGGAAAGGACACAGAGAAAAACGTGGAACCAAAATCAGAGGAAGGGGCAACGATTTGGAAAAACTGAGAGAAAAAAAGGACAAAAAATAAGCGTGAATGATCCAAAGCCAGTATCTAAAAGCACGAGGAGTGAGAATATTTTCATTGCAAATTCAGTTTCTCTACACGCAAAACATGGGAGATGTAACAACTCTTGACTTATTCTTTTTATTTCATTTTTTATTTATTTACTTTATATATATTTTTCATTTTCTCCTAATTTTAATATTTTTATTTCTTTTTAGATTGTTATATATATATATATATTTTTTCATTTTTTATTAATATTATTATATTAATATTTTTTATTATTTTTTTCTTATGTTTATTTATAATCTAACACTTTTGACTTTTTAGAGATACTTTCAATCGATCAAAGATAATTAATTCGAATTGAATTTTTAAATTTCAATTTAAATTTTGATTTTCGCGATTAAGACAACCGATGAATTAATTGGTAGCGAAAGGGCGGTTCAAGGGTGTTAATCATTCCTTGACCGTAACCGACTTCCGAACCCGACACGTTTCTGGTACAACGCAGATCAGGTAAGATGGTGTCCGACCTACCTAAATTAGTTTTAAATGATCGGTTGCGACTCCAATTCATTTAATCTAAGTCGAAGTCCAATTCGGGACTCAACCGAAAGACGGTTCTTACAAATAACCATTTCTCTTGAGAATCTTAACGAATTCTTTAATTAGTGGAAATGTGTCTAGCTTTCTCTTAATGAAAAGGTTTTTTTTAATGACTTAAAAAATAGAAATGGATATACGATCAATATCCACAGGGTTTGATTCAATTTGATCTTATAGTGAAGTTTTTTAAAATTTATATTTATTTTGGATTCAACGTTCTGAGGTATAATATTAGTGTTTGTTCAGTGGTAAGACATAAACCAAATGTGAGTGTTCAGTGGTAAGTATACACCCAAACACCTTTGAAGACTTAAGTTTGATCCTCTCTCGCTGCTTCTTTCCCTTACATCAGATGGTCTTCAGCTGAAAACAAAATATATAAAATGTTGTAAACCATTATCAAGTGAGGGACTTAGGCTAGTGGTTTAGCTGTGCTCCCTAAGGGAACTCTAAATTTTTAGTTCAATTCAACGCAGCTGCATATCATAACTTTATAACATTTTGTATTAAATAAGACGATTACACATGTTACCACCTAATTCGATTAAATTTATTAAATTAAGTAAAAATTATGACCAAATTAGTAGATGTTGAACATACCGTCCTAAAAGGATGCTAGGAAGGAAATTTATTGTTATGTTAGTTAGGAAAATGATTATCTAGAACATAGCTGATCCTTTCCACACTAGACTTGCCTTTTTACTATAAATATGTATGAGGTAACTATTCAAAACTATGGAAGAAATATATGAATCACTTCTTTACTTTCTAGTTATTATCCTTGGAGTATTGTTAAAATACAACATGGTATCATAGCTAGGTGGCATCCTTCTAGAATTATATGCTCAATAATATAATGTATAAATATTGAGAATCAAATATGTAATTATACCAATTTCTTTAACTGTCGCATTAGTGCTTCCCTTAAATGTTAACGATAAGTGACTTGATTAAATAAATTTAAATGGTTGGGTTAACTGATTAACAAAATTTCAAAAATGGTGGTTAAAATGAAAAAAAAGAAATAGTTAGGTGGTCAATGATGTAATTTATCCTTAAATTTGTAATTAGTTAAAATTTAGGGTATTGTGCACAAATGGGGCCTGAATTATATGATATTATTTTATTGAGTCCCTCAACTATTAAAAGTTATAAAATGGTTCTTAAATATAAGATGTTGTTTTGTTAAGTATATCGACTATTAAAAATTACAAAATAATCGTCTGACTTTTTATTATATTTTAAACTCGTCATTTTTCATTAAAAATTTAACTAATTCTAAGTTAAATATTAATTTATAGTCTACGGTACGACAATCATTTGAGATTTACCAAAAAAAACTTCACTGCATTGATCAAAATAATAAAAAAAGAGCCGGTCCGTCCGTCCCCATCAGTTCCACCTCGAGTTGGACACGATTTTGAATTTTTCCTTTTTATTCTTTCTAGAAAAAGAAAAAAGAAAATGATTTTTTCCAGCATGCCATAAATTTTCAGCAAGATTTAAAATTTAAAGCTTCCAGAAAGCAATGGAACGACGATATAAAGAGAGATCGAATTAGAGAAGCTTAACACGTTTTTTAGTTCGCTGTCGACTGTAACTCCGTTCGTTCCTTCGATCGGATCTTATTCTCTGAAGAAGAAGTTCAAAATTTTCTTACGGGTTGGTTCATATTATCTCTCTGTTTCTGTTAGATCAACTAACCTTTTACTTTTCTTTTCTTTTTGAGTTTTTTGGTTGCTGTGGAATCGAAGGCAAATAAAGGAAAAGACGATGGTAAAACTCGAAACAGAGTTTTGCTTGTTTTACTTCTCTGGATCGATGACAGTTTTGTGCGAGTGTGTGTTTGTTTGTTTTATGTGATTCTTTGTTTTGGATTTTTTCCTTCCTAGTCTTTTGGAGTGAAAAAAAAGGAGAATATATGAAAACTGCTAGCACAAAATTTCTGTTTATGTTTCTTTTTCTTTTTCCTCAGAAATTTTGTTTAATCCATTAGTTTTAAAGAAATGATTCTGTTGATGTTCGTTCTGGAATTGGATGTACAGATTTTATTCAATTTTTTATGATCGTTTCTGCACAAGCTTCATTTGGCTAATCGATTTGCATTTCTATTGACAAGGAAAGGTTTTAGATGAAGTCGATATAGCTTTGATTTATATTTTCAACAGCTGAGAAAGGCATGCTTATTGTTGTAGAGTCAACATTGCAATTGTTGGATAATGGTGTTGACTCCAATTAGCTGTGCTTTGGATTTGTGAAGCTTCTTTCTTGTGAGGAACTCCGATTTGTAGAAATGCCTGATGCGAAGTGCCCTTTGTTGAAGCAAAGTAACCAACATTGAACTGTGCTGAACAACATCAATTGCTGTTTTCCTTTTCATTTCCTTGATTCACTTGAAGCGGAAACTACTTTTATATTTAGATAAGCATAATGCCAAAATTAACCCCTAACCTTTAACCAAAATAGTCATTTCGGCACATATTTTTTTGGTAGCATTTTGGCCCAACGTTTTATTTTGGGGGCAAAGAGGGCCCTTTATTACAATTTTTATTCATAGAAGGGCCTTTTTAACCTAAAATGAAATGGTAAGGGCCAAAATGCTAAGACAAATAAGGGTTAAAATGCCTATTTGGTCAAACGTTAAGGGCCTTTTTGACATTTTGCATTTAGATAAACGTTGCCTTTGCATTTGTGGCTATGTTAGTATTTGTCTAACATAGGTATCATCAATTACTCCTCTTTAAGTTTATCCCATACCCATATCCAGCTGTGTTGGATATGGGTGATGAATACAATACTTCAAAAGAAATGATGAGTTGGAGCAATATATTTCTTTTGTGTTTGTATGCAGGATTTAGTTCTATTTGTATCGAGACAAGAATGACTTTAGTCGAACATTTGATTTCTCTTTTCAACTGCAATTCAAAAGTGGCTTGAGGTCCTTGAACAATATGGACAGGAGTAAAGTTGTAGTGATCAATTAGCTGTCTAGGTTGGGTTCCTGGTGATTAGTTTCATCCTGAAACTGAATTATCATTTTGGACTAGAAAATTCATCTTACAGTTAGTGAGTGAAGCATATGAAGAAGCAGAACAAAGCTTTGTTTTATTTATGTGGCTCTGTTCTCCGTTGGTTTACATAAGTTTGTTTTGTTTTACACTTATTTTTTTATATAAACCCTCTTCGTACTATTAATTATGAATTTTGTTCTACAATGTTTGAATGCGTCAATTTCTTATTATTAGATTTTTTATTTATTCCTATGTTATTTCACCTTTACATCCTGCCTAATTAGCATTTTATTTCATTGTTGTTGCTGGTTTTTGTTGTCCTATTAGCCTATTACTGTAACTGGTCATGATCATGGTCATGGCCATGATCTTGTTTTCTTTTTTGCTGTCTTAGTATTTGTAGTCTATACTGTATTCCTGTATTATCCTTTTTCTTCTGTCATAGCATATCAATTTCGTTTTTATTGTCATGTATTAACCTTCTTCGTTTGTTTTAAAATCAGTGAGGATGCCAGAGATCCAGTTGGGTGCTCACACTGTTAAGTCCCATGGGGTGAAAGTTGCAAGGACTCACATGCATGATTGGCTCATTCTTATGCTTCTCATTGTGATAGAGGTCATTTTAAATGTTATAGAACCATTTCACCGGTTTGTTGGAGAGGATATGATGAGTGATCTGAGATACCCACTGAAAGACAATACTGTTCCCTTTTGGGCCGTTCCTGTATGTTATAATAGCTTTGAGATATACTGTAATGCTAGAATTACTTTCTGCAAAAGAATTTGTTCAGATTCAGTCAATGACAATTCTTAAGTATGATGATTATGTTCTTCCTTATAACAGATGCTTGCAATAATGCTGCCGTTTATTGTCATTCTTGTATACTATTTCATCAGAAGGGATGTTTATGATCTGCACCACGCCATACTGGGTAAAATTACTTTTCCCCTTGAGATTCTGAATGTTCATCATCTTTTGTTTGAATGTACTTGCATTTAGTAACAGTTGGTGCCTGATTGTATATTCAGGACTTCTGTTTTCTGTGCTTATCACTGGTGTTATAACTGATGCTATTAAAGATGCTGTTGGTCGACCTCGTCCAGACTTCTTCTGGCGTTGTTTTCCTGATGGAAAAGGGGTTAGCCTCCTATTTTGTGATTTTTTTAATTTAAGTTTTCATGATCAAGTCTCAATCAGTCCAATAGTTTGTCAACATGCAATCGTTGCATCATTGATGCAGATTTTTGACCCTGTGACAAAGGATGTTATGTGTACTGGATTAAAGAGAGTCATCAGGGAAGGTCACAAAAGTTTCCCCAGTGGTCACACTTCGTGTAAGCAATCTAATTATTTCCAGCTTCATTGAATTTTCATCATGGTCACACTTTGTACAAGCACTAACTGGATTTCCCCTGAATATTTTACCAGCACAAATCTGTCTTCATCATTTCATTTTCATTTGGTATGCTTTCGTCATTTTCATTAATGGAATTAGTTTCAATCTTCTCTTGTAGACCCGCACATCCATAACAGCATCCTTATTAACATAGATATGATCATACGAGAATGTATCTGACATGGGTATGTTAGATTTTTTTGTAACTTTGCCATGTATTTGAAGGATCCTTGGAGACCATATCTTAACATGTATTGGAATGGACATAACATAAGGTTTTCAATGCTATTACATGGCATTTTTTTGTTATTTTTCTTGTTTTAACCGCCGCCTTTTTTATTATTGCTATCTGCTACTTTATTCTTGGTGTACAACTGTACATACTAGCCTTCTGGTTTAAATATGAACTCTGTCATAGTATTTTATGCATGCATTTATTTTATCTAGAAAATGACTTTAGGGCAACTTTTTTCTTGAACATGTAGGGTCCTTTGCAGGTCTTGGATTTCTTGCGTTATACTTGTCTGGAAAAATCCGGGTATTTGATCACAGGGGACATGTGGCCAAGCTATGCATCGTCTTCTTACCGTTACTTATTGCTGCTTTAGTGGGAATTTCTCGAGTCGATGACTATTGGCATCACTGGCAAGATGTTTTTGCTGGGGGGCTTCTAGGTTTTTCTCACGTGCACTTCATTTTTTTTCTTTTTAATCTCTCTTTATATTCTTCGTCTTGTTACAAGTACTTTTCCCTTTGTTTTGGCGTCTTTCGTGTCATTTTTCTTATCAATTTTCTCTTTTGTGTTCCTTACGTCTTCCGGTCCTTTTCGTTTTGTTCTGTTACCTCTTTTTACAGGGATAACAATTTCATCATTTTGTTACTTGCAATTCTTTCCAGCGCCGTATGAAGTAGATGGTATGCTCCTTCCCCATTCTCATATATGTTTCTTTTGGCTTCTTGTAACTATGTTACTTGTGTCTGGAATACGATCTCTGTTATTTCATATATATGTTTTTTTTGTGTATTCAGAAGGTTATTGGAGTGATAGACACACATACGTATGAATACGTGTTTGACTTTGTTTTGGTATTTCGTCGTAACGGACACTGCAGGCTGGGGACCTCATGCGTATTTCCAGATGTTGGCAGAGTGTCAAAATGTGAATCCATCCAACGCCAATGTACAACAATCGGACCTGGAGGGCGGATATGGGGATTCACAGCATGAGAGGGGGTTATCAAGAGTCAATACTCATGACTCCAGCCCTATCCTTGAAGGAACAAACGGTATGATGAGATATTAAGTATGGAATGTTGTTGTTAGACTGTACATAAAATCATCAGATGTCCGCAGCGTTTGTGATCAGTACGATTATTTTGGTCTTACACGGTTAATTAGATGTTGAAATACGGATCTGCGTCTCTGTATGCCTATTTGTTAATTCGTTTCCGAGATTTTGTTTGACCTTATAGGTAGGGCTATAAATGAGTCTAGTCGAACTTAAATATTGCTGAGCTCGACTCGAAAACTCTAAAGGGAGCTCGACTTGAAAATTTTGAAATGGAGCTCGACCGACTTGAAAACTTGCGAGCCTAAAATTTTAAAGTTTGACTTGAACTCGAAATAATGAATTGAAGCTCGTAAAAGCTCGAAACGAAAAAAAATCTTAAACTTAATTTGATCGAAATTTGAAACTCAAACTTAAAATTGAATTTTAAATATATGAAATCTTATATTGTAATTTTTTTAAAAAAAATCAACACATAAATGTTAATATTATTAATATATTATATTTTGTAGTTGCTCACAAACTTTTCGAGTCGAGTATCAAATAGATTGTTTCGGCTCTTTAAAAACTCTTGAGTAGAGTTTATTCGAGTCGAGTATTTATCGAGTTTTAATCGAATCGATCTCGAATAATTTATGATTTGTTTCGTTTTATTTACACTTCTACTTATAATTCTTGGTTTTGTTTTTTGTTTGTTATATTTGTTAATTCATTTTCTGACTACTTTGGATCTGAGAAGTCATTTATTGTCATGTTCGTAATACCATTTTCATTCATGATTATCCTGGACTTGAGAATTTGCAGATTTTTGTTGTAATCTTGTTTGCCATGGTTAAGTTCAGTTTTTGTCTCCAAATTGTTGATTGATTATATAAATGCGAAGGTGTTAGTTTATATTAGATTTCTCTATTTAAGAATGCAGTATATTATTGATGTATTGATCTCATTCAACTACACAGGTAAGTCATGCTTATATACAATCAGTGTGCATGAAGCTTGTTCTAACAAATGATGTTAACCTTAACAAACTATAACAGCTTCCTCAACAGCTCAGCAATGGCTAGTAATAGCTCGACACCTTTTTCACACCAACAACCGTCCAAGATACATAAGCTCCACATGTCATAAATGACTACTTCGAATATTCTCTCTGCTTCTTTCCCTTTTGTTGCTTAACATTGTTGTACACAAATTTTAGCTCTAAAATCTTCAAATGCATGATACACAGGGTTGGCACTTATGGCCACTGTAATGGTGTTATCACACCAGATAATGGGTGTACAACTTTGCTGAACACCAAGATCATTCAACAGTGCAGTCACCCAGGTTATATCTGTAGTGGCATCTGCAACACTCTTGTACTCAACTTCCATAGTGGATCGTGAGATTGTTCTTTGTTTCTTTGATGACCATGTAATTAAACACGACCCTAAAAACACTCCATACCCCGAGATGGATCAACGATCATCAACACTGGAGCCCCAGTTAGCATCATCAAAGGCAACCACATCCAAACTAGTTGCAGATGAAGAAAAAACCAGACCAAAATCCAAAGTAGCAGCCAAATACCTAAGGATTCGTTTAACAACTATAAAATGAGATTCTCTAGGAGAGTTCATGAACTGTGCAACTTGTCCAACACTGAAGGAGATGTCAGGCCTTGTGTGACAAACATAAAGCAGTGAGCCAATAATATTGCGGTATTTAGTTGCATTTTGAATTAGTGCACCCTCCTCATGTGAGAGCTTAGAAGACATGACCATTGGTGTAATGCAGCCAATAACATTCTTAATACCAGTTCTTTCCAAAAGCTCCTTAACAAATTTCTTTTGACTCAAGATAATAGCATTATTAGAACGTTTTACCTCAATACCCAAAAAATATCTTAACCCCCCCAGATCTTTCAATGTGAATCTGTTCTTGAGCATGAACACAACTTCTTCCACATCAGAGAGAGAATGTCATGTAATAACAATGTCATCAACATACACCAGTATGTAGATGAATCCATGAGTTGAGTGCTTGTGAAACAAAGAGGGATCAGCACGAGAAACAACAAAATCCATTTGCAACAGATTTTCTTTTAATTTCACATGCCAATTCCTGGGTGCTTGTCAAAGCCCATATAAAGCCTTCTGAAGTTTACACACCAGTGGTTTCCCATGCTCATCCACCTTTTCAAATCTTGGATGTTGATGCATGTAAACATCCTCGAGCATGTCCCCATTGAGGAAGGCATTATTTATGTCTACATGTCTAAGGGCCCAGTCGTTATAGACAACAATATCAAGAATCATATTAAATATTGAAAACCGAACAACAATGTTGAATGTCTCTTTGAAGTCTTATCCAGGTATTTGTGAGAACCCTTTTGCAACTAAACGCGCCTTATATCGCTGCACAGAACCATCTGGATTACGTTTCACCTTGAACAACCATTTGCACCCAACTGCAGTTCGATCTTTAGGTAGACTAACTAGGGTCCAAGTGTCATTTTTCAACAACGCATCATATTCATCTTGAGCTTCCTGTTTCCAGTGTGCCATCTGAAATTCATCATGAATTGAATCAGGAACATCATCTGTGCATGTAACAGCATATGCTTTTGGTTTGAACACACCACATCGACTACGAATCATCATGTGATGAATATACTGAGGAGCAGTAGACACAATATCAGAAGCAGGCACAATAACTTCAGGTGCTGAATTCAACTCAGTAATGACCATATTATCCTGATTATGAACCATGCCAGAATCACCATTTTCAGACTGAGATGAATTCTCATACTGCTGAGAAGCACGAGATGCAACATTACTCGAGGACTTCAAGGGCACCGATACCTCAACATCATTTCTCATAACGTTCGATATAGATTCATGCACTAGTTTGCACGTGGACTAGAACAAAGGCTGCTTGGGGTTAGCCACTATACTTAGAGATGGTGACATAGTAGAAGACACATTCGAAACACACTCATCACTATTGACAGCACCTGAGAAGGAAAACACATACTCATTAAAAACCACATGACGAGAAATATATACTCGACCATCTGGAGCCAAGCATTGATAGCCCTTATGTTTTGGACTAACACCCAGAAACACACATGCTTGAGATCGAAATGCAAGTTTATGATTCTGAAAAGTTCTTAGGTGAGGAAAACATTGACAACCAAATACTTTCATCATGTTATAATCTGGCTTTCTTTGCATGAGCTTTTTCAAAAGGTGAAATTCCTTGAAGAACCTTGGTAGGTAACCTATTAATCAAATAAAATGTAGATACAACTGCATAAGACCAATATTCAATTGGCATAGCAGCTTGAGCAAGTAAGACAAGGGCAAACTTGACAACATGACGGTGCTTTCGTTCAACTACACCGTTTTGTTCAGAGGTATATGGACAGTTCAACCGATGAACAATACCATGCTTGACCAAGAAGGGAGACAGACTGTGAAATTCACCTCCCTAGTCACTTTGAACAGCCTTGATCGAACAACCAAATTGTTTATTAACAAGCCTTTAGAACAAATCAAAAACTAAAATAGCCTCATCCTTACTTTTCAAGAGATAAAGCCAAGTATGCCTAGTAAACGAATCAACAAAGGAAACATAGTATCGAAAGCTATTAGAAGCAATATGAGGAGCCCCCACAAATCTATAAACACAAGTTCAAATTGATAAGAAAACACAGTATTTGATTCAATAAAATGCATTATGTGGATCTTGCCCATGTAATAGGCAGTACATTCTCTATTTACATCAAATTTAAACTTGACACCAAGTTCATGAGACAAACTAGCTAAGATACGAGTTGCAGGATGTCCAAGACGCCTATGCCAAAGCTCATCTAAGGAACCCTTCATGGATGCAACATGAACCTCAGCCATACGAACAACAGAAACATTGTTATTCATTGCAAAGGAATAAAGACCATCATTCTCTTCACCTTGAAGTAAATACTACCAGTCTTCTTATCACGAACATAACACCGATTAGCATGAAACTCTAGAAACACATCATTGTCCCTAGCAAGCTTCGAGACCGAAAGCAGGTTCTTAGTGATTTGAGGCACATGTAATAAATCATTTAGCAAAAGAACACGAGAGGAGGAAGAAACAGAAGACCTACTAACCATATTAACATTAAGAGGCATACCGTTGCCAACAATCAATTTGCTTGGACCATGGAAATCAGATGGATCCAGAACATTCGATGCTTCAGAGGTAACATGATGTGTTGCCCCAGAATCGACCACCCACTAATCAGAACCATTAGTAGTATTAACAACATTTGCTTGAGGTAGCCCCGAGAAGGCAGAACGCCCTTTACCACAACAGTCATACACATAAGCAGAAGAGGTATACGAGTTACCTCTATAGGAACCCTATTATCAGATGTAAGATAAGAGAACTTCTTATCAAATCTATGCTAACAGTGATCCACTAGATGTCTGATCTTGCCACATAGTTGGCATTGAACATGCGATCTACCTCTACCTCTGCCACCACCTCGAGAACCGATCGAATAATTAAACTGTGGATCCGTACGATTATTTGAGAAAAAAGAACCACGTCTTTCTCCCTGAGCGATATGAGCACTCATTGGTAGTATCTCATTTTGCTCATTAAACCCAGCAAGCTGCATTTCAGCATCAAGTATCATAGTATATATGTTATCAAGAGTCAAGGTTTCTTTCATGGTGGTTATAACAACCACAAAGGATTGATACTCGCGAGAAATACTCTTTAGAATACTAGTAATACGTTCAACAGAAGGAACCGGATTGCCATACGACTCCAAGGCATCACATACTTCTTTAACATGTGTAAGATAAACTCTCATAGTGTCACCATCTTTCTTTAAGAACTGCAATTTGTAATGGAGGCTCATGACAGTAGTTGTTGAATGAGCAGAGAAGAACTGTAAAATAGTGTTTCAGACTGCTGACACAGACTCAACACCAAAAAATTGAGGAAGGAGATGAGCACTGATGGTGGAAAAGAGACAAGAAGCAAGTGCACTGTCTTGCGCAACAAACTCCTCATACTCTTCATTAATCCGAACGACACCGTTATCATCAACAACCGTTTCCGGTGGTGTGGAAACTGCACCAGTGAGCAACCGTTCCAACCGATGACTGCGAACAATCAACAACGCCTGCTGCTTCCAAAGAAGGAAGTTCATTTCATTGAGCATAACATTGACTTTCTTATGTGAGAAAATCTTTGAACTCTGCGCGGGAAACTCCATCACCACGAACCTTACGCAGCAAAAGCCAAGCAATGGAGACCAAGACCACCAACGATTGATACCATATTAGATTTCTCTATTAAAAAATGCAGTATATTATTGATGTATTGATCTCACTCAACTACACATGTAAGTCATGCTTATATACAATCAGTGTGCATAAAGCTTGTTCTAACAAATGTTGTTAACCCTAACAGACTATAACCGCTTCCTCAACAGCTCAACAACGACCCAGCATCAGCTCGGAACCTTTTTCACACCAACAACCGTCCAAGATACGTAAGCTCCACGTGTCTACTACTTCTAATAGTTTATCATATAGATTTTGGTATTGGTACAAGAAAAAATATAGTTGATAATGAACTAAGCGACATTGACAGTAAAAGAATTATTGTTATTCTTTAATTTTTCAAGTTCGAGCACCAAGAATATTGTAGGTGTATGAGTTTAATGTCAAATGGTTGAATGTTATCTTTGAACAAATACTACTTTATATTTATCCTAGATTAATAAAAAATTATAAAATAATTGAGTATTATTTTTAAACAAATACTATTTTGTATTTATCCCAAATTAATAAAAAATATATTAAGCATCACAAATTTGAGAAATAATAGAGGATACTATTGAAAAAATTCCAGGAAAAATATAAAATTCAAATATAGTTGAAGTAAGTTATTTTGTTATTATTTTCAATATTAAAGTTTTTTTTAAAGAAAAGTTAACAAGTTAGAATTTTATTTGATACACTTAAATAAGATTTTAAATTTGAGTATTTATGTATGTAGATTATATGCACGAATTAAAAAATTTTAATGGTTAAATGAATTTTTTTCTCCCTATATAAGTCTTAAGTTTGAACACCTCATTTACAAATACATTTTTAATATTTATTGTTAAATAATCAAAATATTTTTGAATAAATAAAATCTTTTTGGACTAATAAAAAAAATTCTATATATATTTTAAAAGTAGAGTTTTTTAATAAAATTTCTATATCGAAAAAGTTTGAAATTCCCAACCTTCTCTTAACTCATCGTCTTTTTCTTTCTTCTATTTGTTCCCTCTCTTCCTCCAGTGCCTGATTTAATCCCTATCTTGCATTCAAGTTTCCGACAGACCATGAATTTGAGCGAGGTAATTTTTGAAACATTAAACTTAACTTGAAGATTTCCATTTGAGAAGTGAGATTTTGTGTTATCTGCTCCCTGCCTCTGCATTTGCGTCTTCATCACTCTGCTGTATTTTGTTTCCATTACTTGTTACTCTGCCTCATCTCAAACTCTCTCTATTTCTCTTACTCTGTTGAGAATCGAGAATCTTGTTAAAAGGCGCCGCTGTTGATGTGAAATTTCTTCACCTCGCTATTGTGGTATTCGAAACCCTGGATTCGATTTTCTTAACTTCTGTTTGTTTTCATGGAAAAACGATTTTTTTTTGCAGGCCGTTTCAACTCCGGATGACCTTGAGCCTCTATTCGATTACCGCCGTGTTCAACCCCAAAATATCGTTTGCATCGACGGTAAAAAGAGCTTTTTTAATTTATTTTCATGGAGTTGTGTTCTTTTGTGTTTTTTTTTTCTTTCAATTGTGTTCACATAAATACAATGTAAATTATTTACTTCCCTAAGTGATTAAATACTTGTATTTAAATTGTGGTGGTTGTATTACTCGTGTTTAAACATGATTTGTAGTGTTTCTTATACTGTTTTCGTGGTTTGTTAACGTGTGATTTCATGTTCTCATATGGTGTTCATGAATTTCAACAAATGTATTGTATTGTTTTTATTATACTGTGTATTTAATAAACATGCTGTGTCTTTTTCGGTAAACAATGTGTTCTCGTATAGTGTTTGTAAATTTCAATAGTAGCATAGAATTTGTAGGGGTGTTCAAACTGTTAATTCGGCCACCGACCAAACCTAATTATCATTAACCGAATTAATCAAACTTTTTTTTTTCTAACGGTTAACCGAACCGAACTTTTCTTTGAAAATATTAACCGAACCGAATTAACCGTTAATCGAATATTAAAAAAAAATTAATCGTTCCCCGACCCGTTATAGTAATCATAATTTTTGTACACAAATTGTTATGGTAATCATTATGAGTTTCATTGTAGATGACTGTTCAGGTACTTCACCAGTTCCGTCACCAAAACGGAGGAAATGCCCTAAATCCGTTGTAAGATTTTTGCTTTATTTTTTTATATTGACATATGAAAGTAAATTTGCATGATAAGATTTTTTTTCCCTTTTATTATTATGGAATTGGAAATGGATTAGGTTGCGGAAGTAGATTTGGATAAAGATGTTGAACTAATAAAGGTTGTGAATGTTGAAGAGGAGGATTGGTTGGCACCCCCTCCTATGGTTTCAAGTAATGCTCATAGGAAGGTTGGTGAGGATTCAACCATAAAGGAGTTAAGGTATGGCACTTGGCAGTTTGAGTCTCTTTTTAAACTTGAATATACTTCCGACTTTACAGACTTGCAATTTTGTCATACCTGTTTCTAGTGTTTCAATTGTGTTTATATGGTCTGATTATTCGACATGAACTGGTAATTTATGATTCAGGCGATGATGCTTTCTGCATAGAATTGTTGCTATTGCTTGTTAACTATAATTTTAATATATACATTACTTCAACTCTTGATTTTTCTTGAAATTTCCGTGTCCAATACGTACCAAGATATGGGTACATGAATATGACATTCCATGATACTCAAAATAAATGGGAAATCTTAAAAGGGACTGAATATACCTGTTTAATACACGAGTCTGAGTAACATAATATAAAACATGTTAGTTTCCAGAACAAGGACGAACTCAAGCAATTTCGTGTATACACGGTATAGCTTTCTGCTGCACTTTGATCTTTCGTGTCGGTAGTTGCATACAGTCTGGGCTATGGAATAGGTGAATGAAAAAGTTTAGTACTCTGCTTTGTAGCTGCTTGGTTCCAGATGTGGGAATAGAAATAAGTCTAACTAAGTCCCTAGTTATAAGCAGTGGAGGAAATAAAATAATTGCATGGTGCATTCATATGATGAAAGGCTCAACCTTCCATGTTAAAATCTTGCCTTGCAATAAAATCTGCTCTAGTTTCATATCCTATTTATGATGGGGAAAATAAAGATGCAAACCAGTGCTAGATTTACAAAATAAACAGCTCTTGTATGTATTATCGACATCTGAAATGGCAGATATCTGTCTTATTTATGAAAATGTTGTTGGAAAAGCAATTTAGTTCAATATCTTGTCATTCATGCATGGTTCATGTTCATATTTTCCTTATTTTCAAGGTTTATTCTATGCTCTTCAGTCTTCCCATTACTTGATTGTGGAATCTTTCAAATGATTCATTTCTGCCTTTACTAACATAGCATAGAATCTCATGGTTATTTTGTGTTTGGATTGAACTGTTTTCTTCGGGTAACTCCACTTTCTGAATTTTTTTTGGCTGGATTTTCATGTTTGATTTAATGGCTTCGGTTTTTTCTTATGTATTTTTCATGCACTTCCCTCTTTTGAATGCTATTATTCTTTCTTCTGATGTGACGTGCTGTATTGTAAATTTGTTTTACAATATAAGTTGAAGATTTTTTTCTTCATTTTAATAGGATGATAAGTTTGAGAAGCTCTTCAGGTTGTATGCCAACAAAGCTAAGCTTGAACTGCAAAGCTTAGTTTTTTCTTTTGATGGCGATAAAATTAATGTGGATGCAACTCCTGCAAGCCTAGAAATGGAGGATGATGACATAATCAAGGTGCATGTGAAGAAGTGCTGATCGAGGTATGTTTCTTCGATAGTATTATACGAAAGCATTTAGACCGAAAAGAAGTTGAAATTCTGAATTGAGTTATACCGTGTTGAACAAAATGGCATGTTATAAAATCAAACCTGTGCGTTCTCTAGTGTCATCCTATCAGATCCTTTATTGAGGTTTTTTTGGGGTTTGCAGAGGTTTTGTATGAATTGATGTAGGATTCCGTCTTAAGAGTCCGAAAGGTTTCCAGATACTGAATAAAACTTTGAAGATGTGCACTCTTTCAATGATCATCTTTTTTGGGTCTGTTACCGAAGTTTATGTTGCACATTTCACAATTGTAGTGGGATGATGTTTTGAAAATGATCATAAATAGTCTTTTCATCAAAGCTTTCCTACAGCCTTGCTGTGAGGAAATGATTGGTAGACTCACAAATGTAACTGGTGACTGCTTCGATAAACTACTTGTGAAGGCATGAATAGCTAAAGATGATACTCTCGTTACTCTTTGTTTTATTTTTGACTCACAAATGATTGGTAGACTCACAAATGTAACTGGTGACTTTGACTATCATAGCTTAAATGACTTATTGGATATGTGTACGACTACTTTAATGAATTTATTTTTGAGAAGCTTTGCCCAATTAAATACAAATTAAGGGTTTGTTTGGATGAATGATTTAGAATGGGGGGATTTTTATTTTAGATTGAAGATTTTAAATTCTAAAATTGAGTTAACTTGTTTAAAGAAAATTATTGGATGATTTTTAAAATTAAAATGGATTTCGAAAGGAAAGTTAAATATTCAAATTATAGTTGGGTTTGACATGATTTCCATGGATATGTATTTTTTTAGGGCTGATATCCACTAATGTATGAGACTAGAAGGTCATGTTACTTTTTATTTACAAGATCTCTTTGTATAAACCTTGGAATTAGTTCTCGAAGTAATCTTTCTTCTTTGGTCTCTATCATTCAACAAAATGGACATAAATATCGACACGAAATTCATGATGTGAATTTCATTGAAATGATAAAAAAAAAACCAATCTCCTATAATCGAGTATGAATTCGTTGGTCCACCCCAGCCTATCTACTTCATATTTGGGTAAATTACTTCATGGTGGTCATTCAAGTAGTTTACCCTTCATATTATTGCAACACTGACACACAATTCGAGATTAAAGAAAATAAAATATTTATAGAATTTAAGGTTATAGTTTTATTAAAGGTTTTAAATGAACCTCAACATTTGTAGGTGTTGAGATCAATATAAATTTTGAGTAATTTTATTTAATTTTAATATGGATTAGGGTAAAGCACACAAATAGTCTCCCGACTATAGGACAATGATTTGTTGAGTCATTCGATTATCAAAAGTTACAAAATGGTCTTCTGACTATAGGATGTTTGATTGAATCCCCGATTATCAAAAGTTACAAAGATCACTCAACTGTTCATATATTTCAAATTCGTCCTTATTTGTTAAAAATGGCGACCATATGAGTTGGACATTAACATGTTGACTAGGACATGGTAAAATTTGATTCAATAATTGTTTGAGTTGTATTTTATAGTTCAACTCTCTGTTTACATTATACAGTCGAGCTAGTGCTTAAAACATTATACAGTCGAGCCAATGCTTGAAAGCAACAATGGTGCAAGTAGACATCATTAAAAAATAATTTTATCATATCCAATTAGTAGTTTAATGTCCAACTCAAACAGTTGTAACACCCAAATCCCACGGATTCGAGTGTCACATGGAATCACCGAAGTAACTAACCATTTTTTCATTAAAATCATACTCGCCTTTAAAATATTTACATAAGGTATGAAACTATAACCATTTACAAAAACGGACCCCAATTTAAAATTTTAATAAATAAAATAAATAATTAGAATATTACAAGTCGACTCATTTCAAATCATAACCTCTACATACCCACAAAGTCATCACCATTGTACTCTGGTAATCCGCTAATACTCCTCCGATGATATCGTTGTCCCGTCGCACTCCATGAAACTTGAAACTTGCTAACGAAAACACATTCTGAACGCTGAGCTCGCAAGTTTTGTGCCAGACAATACCTCTACTATACTACATGCATTCATAAAATAAGCATGCTAAGTATAATCAAAGAAGCAATACCACTATGCCATCCATACTACTAAATCATCTACTCAAGATACATCCACTATTAGGAGGGTATGAGTCTCATGCTTCCCTTAGTATACTACTAAGGACCTTGCCATGGGTATACATATATTGGGTCTTTAACCACAGTATCAGACAATTATGCATCACACAATGTTAGTACCCGGTATCACAGAGACGCCAGGTATAATCACAAAACAAGAAGTAAGTATCATGGTGTAGTCGGGGTCACTTAGCATCACGGAAGTTACAACCCTATTTGCTTACTAGAGGTACCTTGGGCAAGATCTAGGTCACATAGCATCATCACCTCCCAAGTACCCTAGGTTAGGTTTGGGCCACATAGCATTGACAACTTGTTGAGCTAGTATACTCTTCTAGAGTACTCGGAACGTGCCTAGGTAATGTTCAACTTGCGTTTTAAGTTCCCTTGCACTGATTTAGATATATTTGGATATTTATAATAAACAAGACGACCTTCGAATGCAAAAAAACATACAAGGGTGCCCATAGGTCAACCAACTCAATCAATGCCACACAACAACATTTAAGGTAGCTTGACTACTCACTAATATAGTTCATCACAATCGAGTGAGGTCATCCCCTCACTTGCCACTATGTCGTTCGCTGTCTCATCTAGAACATTATACTAAAGTTTATTAGTCTTTTAGTGTTCTACGCCCTTAAGGCAATTAATACTCATCTCTGCACACTTGGTATATTATTACTAGCCCAAGACCCAACTCGGGTTGGTTAATCAATATCGATTCTCTAATCGCTTTCATCATATCTTCCCTCAATGCATCCTTGAATTAGAGGGACGACTTGTATATTACTGTAATATACAAGTAACTTGAGTGTCCTTGTTGTTTCCCGAGTATCAAACAAAGGTATAAGTCTTTTGGAATCTTACTTTATAAGGTTCTTATGACTACCACATGATTTATTTAATGCTTTCACTTGTAAGCTTTATTGAGAGGTTTTGGTGGTGTTAGACTCATTCCTAAGTCCTTAAACCAAAACAAGACTTTTTTGTCTATTTTAATTTGACAATACCTATACTAAGCCCTTTAGTATCAATATCGACCCTTCAGTATCAGTATCAGTATCAAACATGTAAACTACAATTTGAGAAGGACTAGTAATATAAGTTCTCATACTTAGAGTATCGATACTTCACCATTAGGGTACAAATACCATTATGGGTACATATACAAAATTTAGCTACTTAAATTTATGACTTAACAATGGTATCGATACCTAACCCTTTGATATCGGTACCCAACGAACAATATCGATACTATATGTATAGAGTACCGATACTGCTCAACCAAAAACCCTAACATTAGTCATTCATATTATTCTTACCGAGTCTTCATGAACACACTCTCGTCACAGATTTAAACGTGTCATATCATTATTTAACCTGTATACAACTCAACCTATTACTCGCATAGGTTATTTCATTCATGAGGCCCATAAGGGTAATTTGGTCATTTTAGTCCCTCAAGGACATTTTAGTAACCTCTCACACTCGAGCTAGATGCCCGATCTCAATCGATATTAAACTTCTCACTCTTGAGTCTATTTAACATCTTGAAGTTACTCGACCACTTTGAATATTGATACAAAGCCTTCGGTATGATACCCAATCTTAGGTATGGATACCAATTCATTTGGTATGGATACCAACTCATCCGTTATGGATATCAGTTTATCTAGTATGGATACCATCATATCGGTATAAATACCAAGCATTTGATATTGATATCGAGCTTTCAGTATCGATACCAATGAACTGATATCGATACCAGTTCATTCAATATCAATACTGAGACCCATAAAATATAGTTTCTCCCAGAATATGAACAATATCGATACTAGTTCATCTAGTATCGCTATAGCTACCCAGAAATACACTGTTTTGCTTGGTCAAACCTCTAAACTCTTCTCAAATATTATTTTAAGGTCTAAATTGATTATAAAAGCTTTTGAAAGAGATCAGGGGTCATCATACATCATTTTTACACCAACTTAACACCCAAAACGTCCATAACAACAAATCAAAAACCCAAGCCCCTACATGCTCTTCTATCCCATAAAAGCAAGCAACTCATGTATATGATATACAAGTAGTAAGGAAGAGTTATAATGTGTTATGTAACACCCCGGATTCTGGGTTAGGAGTTTTAGACCAACAGATTTGGGCCTTAAATTAACTCCTTAGTTTATGAGAGGTTTTGACCCAAATCGAGATTGATTTGGGCTTGATCCAAGCCCAATGAAGAGTAAAAAAAGTGTTTTAATATGCTGTCAGAATCATAGGGACCAATGAAGTAATTTAACCATTAATGATTTCAAAAGATGAATAACTCTAAATTATGGGAGATATCACGATGTCTCATCGCTCTTATAGAGGTTAGCACAATTGTAAATCTGTGAAATAGTAAGACTGCATGGCATTTCAAGCTCGATCATATGTGATAGGGATCCTCGTTTCACTTCCCGATTTTAGAAGGCTCTTCACCAATCCCTAGGCATCAAGCTATATTTTAGCATCTCTTTTTACCCCTAGACAGACGGTCAGTCAGATCTTGTTATTCAGATTCTTAAGGAAATGCTTAGGTTCTTGATCATGGACATTGAGGGTAGTTGGGAGGACCACCTACCACTAGTGGAGTTTGCGTACAATAACAACTACCAGTCAAGTATCCAAATGGCTTTGTACGAGGCTCTGTATGGACGTTAGTGTAGGAATCCCCTATGTTGGACCAAGCTTAGTGAAGGAAAGTTAGTTGGTCCTGAATTGATTAGAGAAACTGAGGAGAAAGTTTTGTTGATTCAGAATCGGTTAAGTGAAGCTTCTGATAGATAGAGGTCTTATATGGACTTAAAGCGCAAGGATATTGAGTTTTATGTGGGTGACAAGGTGTTCCTTAAAGTATCTATGTGGAATAAGATGCTTCGTTTCGGACACAAAGAAAAGCTAACCGCTCTTCATAGGACCATATGAGATTCTTGAGAGGATTGAACTCGTAGTATACCTTTTGACCTTGCCTTTTGAGTTTGAGCATATCCATAATGTGTTCCACATATATATTTTGAGGAGATATCGTTCTGTCCATTCCCACATTCTACCGTTAGAGCAAATCGAGTTAACCCAAGATATGACATATGAGGAGGAACCGATAGGGATTTTGGAAAATGATGTGAAAGATCTACGAAACAAAAAAAAAATCCCTTTAGTGAAAGTGCTATAGAGGAACCATGGTGTCAAAGAGGCCACTTGGGAAACTGAGGAAGGCATACAACTTCAGTAACAATATCTCTTTTACGCAGGTAAATTTTGATGGTGAAATTTCTTTATAGAAGGGGAGAGTTGTAATACCCCA